AGGCACTAAGGAAATGTCCAGAGATTACAAGGATGACACCAATTAACCATCTAAGCAACAGTGGCAATGCTACTTTAAATGCCCTCCCCTGATAATAAGATTGATGACTAACTTATATGCCATCCTAGAGCCTTCATCTAGCAGCTGATGGAGGTAGAAGCAGATACCCACAGCTAAACCCTGAACTGAACTGGAATCCAGCTGCAGAGAAGGAGGGGTGATGAGCAAAAGGGTCAAGACATGCTGGTGAAACCCACAGAAACAGCTGACCTGAACAAGGGAAAACTCTTGGTCCCCAGACTGATAGCTGGGAAAGCAGCATGGAACTGTATAGGCCCCTGAATGTGGGTGTGAGTGAGGAGACCTCAGCAATCTATGGGGCCTCTTGTAGTAGATCAGCACTTATCCCTAGCATAGGAATGGACTTTGAGAGCCCATTTCACATAGAGGGATACTCCCTCAGCCTAGACACATGGGAGAGGCCCTAGGCCCTATCCCAAAGGATACGACAGACTCTGAAAACCCCCATGGCAGACCTCACTCTCCCTGGGGAGCAGAAATGGTATGGGATAGGTAGGGTGTTATTTGGGGGGTAGGGGAGAAGGGGAGGGAGAGGGATCTGGGATTGACATGTAAAACAATCTTGTTTCCAATTTAAATAAAAAATGGAGAGAAAAAAACAAAAACCTGTACTCCACAAAATCTAAAAGAAATGGAAAATTTTCTTAATAAATACCACTTACCAAAGTTAAATCAATATCAGATAAACAATTTAAATAGGCCTAGAAGGAAATAGAAGCAGTCATTAAAAGTCTCCAAAACAAAACAAAAGCCTCCACCTATAGGCATGTGTGGTCCTTTGTCCCCTGTTTGACACCGGACCTGGCAGCGTTATGATCCTGTTCTGCCTCCTCAGCTCTCTGTGCTGTAGTCACCACTCAGTGAAGTTCTCTGCTTCATAGATCAGGATGCAAAGTTAGAGAGTCTTCTTGAAGAAAAAAATTACATGTAACAGAGACATCATATAGTGATTGTAGCAATGACATAAACACAAAGTCTAAATGGCATATTTAAGGAATAGAAATCAGTAAATTTACCATATGACCCAGATATGTCACTCCTTAGTGTATACCCAACAATATCCTACACCACAGAAACGTGTTCAACTATACTCATTGCCACTCTCTTCACCATAGCTATAAAATGTAAACAGCATACCTTTCCTAAGCAGATGAATGAATAAAGGAAATGTGGTATGCAGTAAGAAAAATGAAATAATGAAGTTGTAGGTAAGTGGATGGAAGTAGAAAATACTGTATTGAGTGAGGTAACCGAGACACACAAAGACAAGTGTCATATTTTCTGTACCAGAGAGAAAGCCCACAACTCTTACCTCCTACAAAGGTAGCACAAAAATAATATTAAACTCACAATGTATACTGTTCAGGACTATCTTGTACAAACCAAACAAAAGCAGGTATTGAATTTAACTATCTTGGGTGATCATGGAGATCAGGAAATCAAAATAAGATATTAGATATACATTGTCATATTTTCAAAATATTTTTCCACCTGAAACATAAATTGTCTTTAGCTGTTTTATCCTCTCTACTGATCTAAATCAATATGGCTGAGAAAACGTAATACTGTATAGTTCCCTTCTGAGTGAATCACAATGTTAATTAGTATAAGCTTTTATAAAACAGCAGGTATACATAGATAAACAAAGTCGTACACCTATTAACATTTCATAAATGCACAAGGTAAATCCATATGAGTTACACATTTATTAAAAATCAAAAGCTTTTACTCTATATTTAATTAGTCAAATTAGACATAACCTTTTCAGAGTCTTCACTCACAAAAAAACAAACTGCTTGGATTAGAGACCATACATCAGAATAGACAAGACAGATACAGAGGAAACAGAACCAACGTGCATGAAGCCAGTCTGTCCACTGTGGGCTAAAGGTTGTAGGACTCATGAGACTCTTCAAATTTAGTTACAAGGTAGAACATAACATGTCACACATATGTCGACATATTTCCTTTATTACATATTCAGAGGTCCATATCCAACATATTCAGAAGGACAAAAAGGCCATACACTTCCATAATTGCCTTACAGACTCATCCTTATTTTAGAGAAAGAAAAGTCAATTTAATACCTGTTGAAGGTTTCGATTACAGAAAATAGTTATAATCCAGTGGCATCTGCAAGTCAGGAATGAAGGGGCACAACAATATTAATTTAAAATAAATGGTAGAAGTGTTTTATAAAATTTACAATTTTTCTATTATTCTCCATTAATTTTGTAGTACTTTTTGGATTGATAGAGGCTATACACCATGGTGTGCCAGTCAGGGGAAACCCTGCTGCAGTCACTTCTCTCCTTCCACCAAGTGGGTCCTGGAGTTCTGACTCAGGTTGCCAGGCTTGGCAGCAAGTATTGCACTGCTGAGCCAAGCTTTCCATTACATTTTTTGTTTTGTTTTTAAGTTAATAAATTGGTGTATTTTGGGTGGGTGTGACAAAAACCTTTATCCCATTAAGACTATTCATAAGTCTCAAGAAATACTCATTTTAAAGGCTTTGGTTTTTTCAAAATTTAGCATAATTACATATATATTTTTTCTGAAAAGATTTGCCATGAAATTTCCTCAAGCATGAAGAAGGAAAAAGTAGACTTGTGATTGGAGGATTTGTGCATATGTTCAATTTTTTAAAATCAGCAGAGTTTTAAATTTATGATAATTGGGGGAGTTCATCAATCTACTAAAGAAAGTAATTTAATGAGTGTGGATTAAAACTGGGGTAGGGGAGGGGTGATGACTCAGTTGTCAAAGTATGTGCTGCTTTTCTGGAAGATCAGAGTTCTTCTATCTGAGACTCTCACACTCTCACTCAGCATCCCTGGCCACCTGGAACTCCAGATCCATTCTGGAGCTCTCTCTGACTCCTGGGAGCACCAAGACACACATGGTGATTTCTCTCTCTCTCTCCCTCCTTCCTCCCTCTCTCTCTCTGTGTCTTTCATATAAATAAGGGACTCATGAATATTTTCAATACTATTAAAATCAAGTATTTTAGAATGCATGTACCTGGAAAGCAAGGGAATCTTTTTGTTTGCTTCTATTATTATTATTATTATTATTATTATTATTATTATTATTATTATTATTATTATTATTATTATTATTATTATTATTATTATTATTATTATTATTATTATTATTATTATTATTATTATTATGTTTGCTTCTATTATTATTATTATTATTATTATTATTATTATTATTATTGAAAACAGAGTCTTCTCTCACTGAATATTTTAATAATTTCATAACAGACAGGTGTGTGCACTCTAACAATAGGTAAGATTTTTTTATTATTTTCAAAACACACTATCAAATAGTATGATATACTTCAAAAGAGAAAAAAAACATACAGAAACACCTGAAAATTTCAGAAGACAGTGATCATTTTATGACTTTCTTCAGAGCACTTAAAACTTCCTTGTTTCTTAAGCTGTAAATAAAAGGGTTTAGAAGAGGAATCACAACTGTGTAGAACAATGAATACATTTTATTCTGGTGTTTGCCTGATGCAGACCCAGGACTTACATACATGAAGAGGAGAGTGCCATAGAACAAAGAGACAGAAAGCAGGTGGGCACTGCAGGTGAAGAAGGCTTTCTGTCTGCCCTTCTTAGACTTCATGTTCACGACAGCAAATAGAACACGGGCATAAGAGACTACAATAGTCACAGAGGTACTGATTTGTATGGAAGAAGCAAAAATGAAAGCCACCAGTGCATTAAGAGATGGATCAGTGCAAGAGATTGTGTAGAGTGGCATGATTTCACAGTAGAAATGGTCAATTATATTGGACTTACAGAAAGTTAATCTGAATAATAATCCCACATGAACTATAGGATTTAGGATACCAATTATATATGACATACTTATTAACACAGTGCAGAGTCTTTTGAACATCACAACTGCATAGTGCAGAGGGTTGCATATTGCTACATAGCGATCATAGGCCATTGCTACCAGGAGGAAAATTTCTGCTGTTGCACTGAAACAAAAAAAATAAAATTGGGCAAAACACTCACCCATGGATATCATGTCATTCTTGTTTAAAAATTTCATGAGCATCTTTGGAGTCACAGAGGATGAAGTACAGGCATCAGCAAAGGCTAAATTTCCAAGGAAAAGGTACATGGGAGTGTGAAGATGGGTGTCCTTCCAGATGAGAAAGATTAAGCCAAGGTTGCCCACCATGGTGATGACATAGATGAAGAAGAACACCAGGAACAGGGGGACTTGCAGCTCTGGACGATCTGTTATTCCTCTGAGAACAAACTCAGTCAGCAGGGTCCTGTTTCCTTCCATCACACCCGCTCAAGATGCTCACTACAAACAGAGATAAGACAAAGAAAATATGACCAAGCCTCAAGGAGAATGGGAACATATTGTAGTCCACATCCCTACATCTCAGATGCTCCTTAGTAAACAAGAACAAAGTCTACTGTTTCTGCTTTGGTAGCTTTCCTGAAATAGAAAATATTTTCTAAACAATTTTGATGTATACTTTTTTCATTTATGTGCATTGGTGTTTTGCCTGCATGTATGTGTGTCTGAGGGTGTTAGGTGACCTGGAACCAAATGTGCTGTCATTTGGGTGCTGAGAATTGAACCCAGGCCCTCTGGAAGAGCAGCCTGTGTTCTGAACTGTTGAGCCATCTCTCCAGTCCCAGATCATATTGTGCAATTATATGGAAAGTAGCTGGAGACATAAACATTGATTCACCTGGCCTTGTGTACATTGACCTGATAACTAAGAATTACATATAACTTAATAAATATTTATATTATGTTTCATTTAAACTTATTTATAATACGTAACTTTTATACAAAATTTAGAATGGTTGAAAATGCAAAATACACTTTATACTAAAATATTTTTTTAAAAAGCTCTAGTTCAAATGTATCTTTGTATGAAGTGTTGCTTTACATTATGACATTTCCTGGCTCGTTTACAATGGATTTTGAACACGCTAACTCTCTCTAAGTTTCTCTCCCTCATCTGATGTTTCCCTTTGTCTTGTCAAATGGGTTCAGCCTACTTTCTTTTCATATATTTTTTCAAATGTTCTTATACGGGAGGAAAATGGATTGTGCTTCTGTCATTAGTTTTATTTGTGTGTTTATACTTCTAAGACATAAACAGGTCAGGTAATAAGATAGTACTTTAAATTATTTCCGCTCCTTCTGTCCTTTTCACATGTACTACCAGATGACACAATTTATAAAACAACCATGAATTTTGAATACAGATTTTCATGTTTTGTTTACAACAAAATATGTGTAAAGAAGCACTCATTCTGCAATCCAAGAAAGGAGTTATGTGTGAATTCTGGGTGCATGTGAAAAGACTCCAAGAAAACAACAGTCTTGTGACCTCAGTTTCTTCACAAGACAGAATTGTTTTGGGAATGTGATTTTGTGCTCCTCTCAGGTGTATCAGATAGGCGTGAGTTTACTTCAGCTGTCGTATTTATATGCCTTTATGGGAAAAACATGTTTTGCCATGTGTGATTTTTCCTTGTGATTATATACAGCTTGAACTCATAAGAACTTTACTCAAGTGACTCTTTTGATGTTCTGAATAAAATTGGCTATTGCATGAGAAAAAAAGAAGCATTCATTTATTTCCTCATAGGATTAAACACATCTGAATTAAAATTTTATGATTTTAGTATGTAACAAAGAACCTATTAATCATATGTTAATCTATGATGCAACAATCACTTTTATTTTAAGATGAAACATATACATACATGTTCATAACTTTTTACTTACTAATGTTAGATCTAAAAATTGAAATTTAAACATGCCTGTGTGGAAAGTTATCCAGTGAATTAAGATTCTCTTTTAATATTTCAGTTGCCTGTAGTTTTAAAGAGATTTTAACAATGTCACTGTGTTTCTTGAGCCTTTGATTTCTTTGAGGGAGATTGAGAAATTAAAGGTGTTCTTTGACATTACAAAAGACATCACAGAATTAATGGCCAGGCTCTCCAATATCTGCATTTGGCATAAGAAATAAAAACCATGTTTATATAGAAAGGATCAATTAGGTAAAACATGAAACTACATAATTTATAATGACCACAGACATAGCATGCAAAGCAGAAAATTTCACCAAGCCACATGTACCTGTGAGTGTATTCAGTCAAGGCAGTGGTGTCAGATCCTAGAATACAGCAGGGACAGTATTCAAGTTGGGACCACTTCGCTGTGTTTCTGTATTGATAAATATGGGTAATTCTGGGCATCAAGTGAGTTGTGCATTTGCATCGCTGTATTGTTGATCAAAAATGGGAGCTGATTCATTAGAAATATCAGGTTTCAGTGTGTAATTGTCCATTGAATAGAGTATGATGACAAGACCAGTCAAATGAGTTTCCTACCAGCATACACTTTTGCATTTTTTAAATATTTTCAGCCTATTCCTTATAGAATTAACTAACAGCTCCATGCCCTTATCTGTGATTTTAAGAAACTATTTTTCTCAAATAATTTGCTTTATAATTTTTAAAAAGGATAAAATAGAGCTTTTTTTAAAAGACTAGACAATGAATAACCTTGAGGCAATAAAATATGTAGGACAGAAATATTGTACAGAAAGGTGCACAGGGTACTTTTAATTTCTTTATTTCAACTAAATAGAAAGATCATTTTCTGGAATTACTTCACCTCTATTTCTGCTGGGACTAGGAAAGAGAAAATTTGCTTAGAGTATTATTGGATGTTAAAACACAATTAGAGAATTGGGTAATGTTTGTCAAAATTATTAATATTTCCAATACCTCAAAAAGACAAGGTGACATTTGGTTTATATCGATGAAGCATTTAACGTGAAACTGATGCTGTTTTTTTGGGGAGGCAGAACTCTTCCTTTCTTCATATTCCCAGGATTCCCAGGAAATCTAATAACCAGGTGAGGAAGCAAGCATGGATGCCATGAAAAGCCACACAGCTTTGTGAGTCCATGAACCAGAAATTCATCTAAACTATGGAAATTTCCATAGTAAAAGTCAGAAAGGGTAATTTTCCTTAAGTGTCACAGAATAGAGCTTGACCACATGGACTCTTACAAATTCATATGACTAAGCTCAGATATTTGGTGTATAAACACAAAGTTGTGAGTCAGCACAGATATAGAAATGTGGATAAAATAACAAAATCTTCCATTCATCTTTTCAGGACTGCTGTGTATAACATTTGCAAGATGAATTCTCGTGAAAACATGTTCCCATATTATTATTTCTACGCAGGTATTGACAGATTGTGAGTAGCTTTTGGTAATGAAGTGGTTGCACTATAAAAAACAACAATAAAATTTTACTCACCAGACTCCTATGAAAACAGCTTGCAGGCATGGATGTCACGAAGCTTAAATCTCCAAGAAGATATTCAAGCTTCAGCAAAAAAGAGTGTCAGTGACAACTGCCCTTCTCAGGTCAATATTCTTTAACAAAAGCAGATTGTAGGGAATATTTATTTGTTATCATCTTCAATCCTATTTGTAAATTCAAATACTAAAACTCCCTTAATGCTACCAAAAACTCCCTACAGAATAAAGCCGATCTGCTGGGCATTGTTTATTACCCAGCTAATTATTACTAACCAATGCATTGTAACTGGTCTTACATAGATTTGCTAGCTTTCTAAAAGCCAAATATTAAAAGTCAGTTATAAATAAATGTATTTGCTCCACTGACATTTTTAGGTATTTTAGCTGCAATTGATTTACAATCTTTATTAAACTTTGATCAATAATTGCATTATAATATAGAACAATATTTTATAGATGTAGATATATTAGTGTAGATATTAATTACCTTTATGAAAATTGTTAAATGTCCTCATAGCATTTTTAAAATTTTAAACCAGCATTTAAAATTTCAGATTCAATCAATGGTGGAATGGATTGCTTCTCACCCTTCTCCCACTGAGAATAAATTTAACTGAATCATATGATATTTCCAATATGAATGAATTTGTCACATATAAAATCAAAAATTTGTTGTGGATCAAATATCAGAAAAATGTTTAAGGCAATGAAAATACATAAGACATACAGAGAACAAATTGCTTCAGTCACATTGATTAATGGTCAATACTGACAGCATTTTCATGCATTCATCTCCCTCCTTCTACCCATCCGCACCTTTTCATTTGTGTATTAAGTATTCATATATACACTTAAAAACAAGATGACTTGAATGTACACATATTTTCTTAACAAATATGTGACAAATTTTCTAATCTCCTAACTTTAAACTTCATGGAATTGTTTTCCTCATTATTAAAGTTTTGTGAAAACATTCCCACACCTAAGGCTCAGGGAACAATGCAGAAGATGGGGCAGACAGATTGTAAGTGCCAGAAAATTGGAGAGTTTGCTGTGTGATTGTGTCTCCTAGTAATATCAAAAGTAACAGCCATTATGTCTCATCAACATTTCTGGCCAATATGAGCTGAGGAAGATGACATCAATGAACATGCCAAACTGGATGGAGAGAAGTCCATGAAACTTTAGCCCTATATAAAGAAATATAGGTAACTGGGGAAACCTGAGAACAGAAAAAGTGGCATACAGAGGATGCCAAGGCACAGCACAATTGGTTGTCCATTGCCATATATTCAGCGCTAAAAACATTTATACATGACACATAATAGAGACTACACAGGTCCACATATGTACATGCATATATTTGCAATAATAATTTAATGTATTTATATATGTATAAATGCACACAACAGTAATTTTTGAAAGAAGAAGAGGTAATGAATTTGAAGGAGAATAGGGAGTTATATTTAGAAGGTTTGGAGGGAGGAAGACAAAGAGAAAAATGGTCTCAAAAAAAGTTCTGTAACTATCTCTAATCTTAAAATTCATAAAATTGAAAACCATTGCATCCAAATATGTTTACATTATTAAGGATGCTGTCTTACCTTTTTGCCACAAGTCTATGAGTATATTGTGATCATTTATATTACATAATCAAAAGCAGCACATGTTGCTTTTATGCAAGCTAAAAATAACAAACATATTATATTTATATGTATACACATGATAATACATCTATGTCTACATAAACATAGTACAATATTTTATGGCCCACATGTATTTGAAAAAATGCAACATTTATAAAGGGTTATGTTACCTCAAATTTTACTGAAAATGGAAAATAATGATTGCGTTTATTTATGAGTACAAAATGATGTCTTGATACATGCATGCTGTATATCATGGTTATCCATTGTCACCATTTGGCAAAGATGACCTAAAATGTCTTCTTATCCCATTGAAACCTTCCCTTAGCAATCATTCCTCACT